TTTTTTTTTTTTTGGTTTTTTTTTTTTTATATTTGCCAAAATGGTTTTATTAATCGTATATCTTCAATATATACGGTAATGATTTTATTAACGCTTGTCCAGAAGTGGATATTTTTAGTAATTCATTAGCATTTTTTAAGAGGCTTGGCTCCTGTTACGTTTTAGAGTAATTTTTTTTATTTTCAAGTATTTATTAAATTTTTATTTTCAAATATTTATTACATTTATTATATTATTTTCCGTACTTGTATTCTCTTTTGGCAAAATAAGTGCAAAGATTTTTAATTATCTTTTTATATGTTTCATGTTTTTCACAATCAAGTGGCGATTATTGTTTTCGCTGTTGGTTTGTTTATAAATATATACATAAAAATATGTTTAATTAACAGTGCCTCGTAGGCCTTGTAATGAACCCTTTCCTAGTGATGCTGTTTTCAATATTGATATCACTGATAATGTTAAAACTGAGCAATCTGATCAGAACATGAGAGGGCCAGGAATACACGTGTGTCTCACAAACACACATGTGTGTCCCACAAATACATGCGTTTTTGCGTGTGATTTTACACTAGGGAGCTTCCGATTTTTGCGACAACGCGACGCCGGGTAGAACGGAATCACTTACTGTCATTTAATATACAATATATCCAAGGGCGGGGCTTTTCGCGGATAGCTCCATTAAGGTCGATAGATGCTTAATAACTAGACTTAAAGAAATTCTTCACGATCTGATAGGGTTATAAATGATCATATACAAAATTGTATGGCATTCCAATATGTTTTAGGTTTACAAGGTATACCGTACTTGAAAATGATAATGTAGCCTGTAATGTAAGTATGAAATTAGGTTTAATATTTTCTAGTGACTAAAATTATTGACAGTTCGCAAAATTGTTATATATGCTAAGCGTTTGCTATACGTAGGCTACACTTAACAATGGGCTGAAAGCTTCAAAATAGCTTTCTTTGTTTGTGTAGGTAGCTTTGATCATGAAGGTATTTCTTTAGTTTATTCTTAACTATGTCACCTACAGGGGAAATGTTTTGATTGGTCAATCACTTATAGTACTTGTGCATATCTTGCACATATATGGATAATTTTTCATTCCTGATATGATAACATAATTAATGTCGAAATATTGAATCCCGACAATGGTGTGCATTTCGATACTTGGATCATCATGGAGGAAATATGTATTGTAATATCATATTTGAGATTAATCAGTAGACCTTTAGGTCGAAGTAGGCCTATAAATTAAGGAAATGCGAAATTAATGTTGACAGGATCATGTCCTTATTGTCATTGGCTAGTAGCTTTGGAAGTTGATTTCGGTGGGTGTTGTGTCATGCTAGGATCGGACGTATTCTCCACTCCACCACCTCCCCACACTAAGAAAAAAAGTAATTTACAAAAACATAATTAATGTCTTACTTAAATCCTAATGATGTGAAAGACAATCTTTCAATTACGGCAATAATATATAAAAACTGTAACATAGGTTGTATTGTGTTGTAAATTTCGCATTTTGTAACCACCTAATAGTAAAAGTGGCTTTGCTATTGTTATTTAAATTTAAAAAGTAGGCCTAATTGTACCTAAATAAAAAAGTATAATTCCAATTCAACATTGACTATAAATTAAAAAAATTACATTAAAAAAAATATTTGCTTCCCACACCGGGAATCGAACCCGGGCCGCGGCGGTGAGAGCGCCGAATCCTAACCACTAGACCATATGGGATTGCTTGACATCGCAATGGAATTTAGTATCCTTTGTAAGTATTAATCATAAATTCAATAAACGTCCTAGGCGCTCTGTTGTCGATCAGCTGCTGGGCGATCACATGACCTGATAAAGTATTAAACCAATCGCGCTCACTCAGTTCAGATTGCACTGACAGACTAACCTGGAAAAAGTAGGTATACTGTAAACTTGCACAAGTGAAACGCAATCACCAAAATGATACCCAAATTAATCGGAATTACCCAGATGAAATATACAAGAAATTAAGAATAACATAGGCCTATATTATCACGTAGGATGTTTGATTTAAACCGAAAGGTCATATATTAATCTCAGGTAAGATAGTAATAGTATACTCCAAGTATTGAAATGCACGCCATCGTGTCGTGATTAAATATTTCGACATTAATTATGTCATCATCAGGAATGTATTGATTTAATAATTAACATATGTAGGCCTATTGGATTGATATTTGTTTTAAATATTCATTTAATCATAACTGAGGTATTTATTCATTTTAATGTAATAATCATATCCAATTTAGCCCCTCTTCATTCTTTTAACTAAAAGACGTAGAAGGATATATAACTGGGTGTTTTCATTATTTAACCCACCACTTATGATTTTTTTTAATAAGTGAAACAATAAATATTAATTTTTATTTCTTTCTTTATCATTATATATATAAGATGGGAACCTTAACATAATGAGTTTTTTGTAGGGTCCATTGTTGCAATTGTCAATATGATAACAGCGGCAGCTTGGCAAAGAAGAAGAATAAGTAGATAACAATTAGGCCTACTCCAACAATATATCGGTATTCGAACCTTGCGACAGAAGATTCATTGTATTCTACATCCCCAGTAAACATTCGAAAGTTGTTGATTAATCGTTAGCCTTAGAAAAACTTCATATATCTCTAAAGACTACTAAGTTTTATTTATAACAAATTGTATCCTGATTTTTAATATAAGATATAAAATAATTTAATTTATTGGTCCTACCTTTTTTTGGCGCCTTGAGACGATTTTATTGTGGAAGGCGCACTACAAATATCCCACCATTACCATTTTTTTTTTATCCAGGCCGATAGTTATTATGTGTGCCTATTATTATTATTATTATTATTATTATTATTATCATGTTCATGATGTGATGTTTATTATGACAATATTTAGGTATGTAAAATTTTCTGTTAAATTAAATTTAATAATTTGGACAAAGCTTTAAGCTAGCCCTGTCCAGAGTCATTGTTGTATTCCCATACAGTCATGATGTGTCTAATTATGGTCATAATGTGATGACAACATGACCCATAGTTACCATGTTACATGTTTTTGTTAAAATTTGATAATCTAGATAAGACTTCTGCACCAGCACCGCGAATAAAACCGTACACTCCATTTTGTTTCTTATAGGCTCTGTCATATCTCAACGAAGCGCAAGATTTGATCAGAACCCTGGATGCAGGCGAGAAACCACTTTGCGATGACGTCAACGAAAATATCAATGTGAATAAATACGAGCGTGCGCACGTGGAAAGCACAATGGGACAGGTGAATCTGCTTAATCATTTATCAACGCACGTTTATCTTTTACAATTTCTCCATTAATTAATTAATTCACTTTTTCCCCTTTTATGTCTGGCTTCATCTGATAGTAGCCCTCCTTGAGCCTGTGTGCGATGATCCCAGTTATGTTCACAGGCCTAGCTACAATCACATCTTGTGATAATTTAATGCTGACACGAAAGGTTCAAAGTACACGTGCTAGGAGGCTCAATAGAAGACTCCTTTTATTCAAAATTTAGAACAACTGAATCTGGTAAAACCGTTATTTGCCAAAGAGGCATTTTACTATGTTTTAATAATAAAAAAAAAATAATAATAATAATAATAATAATAATAACTAACCAAAAACCAAAACAAAAACACTATCGAGAGCTCTCAAAGCAAGATAAATCGAGTTGCAGTTATCAAAATAGAATTTTTTTAAATGCATTCAAATATAAACAAAAATACGAAAAGCATGCAAACCAATAAACACAGCAACAAAATGATACAAAAATAAAATGCGACGAGGATGGGATTCGAACCCACGCGTGCAGAGCACAATAGATTAGCAGTCCATCGCCTTAACCACTCGGCCACCTCGTCTGCTTACTAACAAATACTGGCTAGTGTAAACAATATAGGCCTATTGGTCTATTGCAAAGAACATTGCGTCGGTATTTCTATTGTGTTTGTGGTGGTTTACTTATGGTTTACATTTTTTCCGTGAGTTAGGCGACATTTTATTTAAAAAAAATAATAATTTAAGCGGATCTATATTTAGGGACGAGGTGAATTTATGAGGCATTGTACACATTAAAGAAATGATACTGAAGTGACTGAATTTTTTTTATAATTATACACTAATATAATATACGCGACCATATTATTTAAATAATTTAAAATGTTGTTGCGATAACAGAAATAAAACCAAAGTAAAATATATAAAATTAACAAAATAATTAGTTGATTGATGATTGATTTATTTACTCTTCGTTCGTTTGTTCGTTCTTTTAATCATTTATTCATTCATTCATCTATTCATTCATTCATTCACTCATTTATTCATTCATTTATAGAATTAAATAAAATTCATTTAAACATAAGCAAAAATACGAAAATCATGCAAACCAATTAACACAGCAACAAAATGATACAAAAATAAAAGACGACGAGGATGGGATTCGAACCCACGCGTGCAGAGCACAATGGATTAGCAGTCCATCGCCTTAACCACTCGGCCACCTCGTCTGCTTACTAACAAATACAGGCTTGTGTAAAGAAAATACTGGTCTCTTGCAGAGAACCTTGCGTTGGTATTTCACCGTTGTGTTTGTGGTTTACGTATTTTTGGCGACATTTTACTAAAAAAATAATAATTTAAGCAGAAATATATTAAGGGACGAGGTGAATATTTATGAGGCATACACATTAAAGATATGATACTGAAGTGACTGATATCTGTATACACTTTATACGCGACCATATTATTTAAATAATTTAAAATGTTGTTGCTATAACAGAAATACAACCGAAGTAAAATATATAAGATTAACAAAATAATTAGTTTAATGATTGATTGATTTATTCGTTCGTTTGTTCGTTCTTTCATTTATTCATTCATTCACTCATTTATTCATTCATTTATAAAATTAAATAAAATGCATTTAAACATGAACAAAAATACGAAAATCATGCAAACCAATAAACATAGCAACATGGCAAAAAATGATACAAAAATAAAGAGACGACAAAGATGGGATTCGAACATTGCGTCGGTATTACACCGTTGTGTTTGTGGTGGTTTATATTTTTCCTTAAGTTTGGCAACGTTTTACTAAAAAAAATAATAATTTAAGCAGAACTATATTTGACGAGGTGAATATTTATAAGGCATTGGACACATTAAAGATATGACACTGAAGTGACTGATATTTATATACACTTTATACGCGACCATATTATTTAAATAATTTAAAATGTTGTTGCTATAACAGAAATACAACCGAAGTAAAACATATAAGATTAACAAAATAATTAGTCGATTGATTGATTGATTTATTTGTTCGTTCGTTCATTCATTCATTCATTTATTCATTCATTTATTCATTCACTCATTCACTCATTCATTCATAGAATTAAAAAATGCATTCAAACAAAAACAAAAATACGAAAATCATGTAAACCAATAAACACTCGGCCACCTCGTCTGCTTACTGCTAGCAAATACTGGCTTGTGTAAACAAAATAGGCCTATTGGTCTATTGCAGAGAACACTGCGTCGGTATTTTACCATTGTGCTCGTGGTGGTTTACATATGGTTTACATTTTTTCCGTTATTTTGGCGACATTTTATTAAAAAAAATAATAATTTAAGCGGAACTATATTTAGGAACGAGTGTGAATTTATGAGGCATTGTACATATTAAAGAAATGATACTGAAGTGACTGATTTTTTTAAAAATAATTATACACTAATATAATATACGCGACCATATTATTTGAATAATTTAAAATGTTGTTGCTATTACAAGAAATAAAACCAAAGTAAAATATTATAAAATTAACAAAATAATTAGTTTAATGATTGATTGATTTATTCGTTCGTTTGTTCGTTCTTTCATTTATTCATTCATTCACTCATTTATTCATTCATTTATAGAATTAAATTGTGTGATATTTATATACACTTTATACGCGACTATATTATTGAAATAATTTAAAATATTGTTGCTATAACAAAAAATACAACCAAAGTAAAACATATAAGATTAACAAAATATTTAGTTGATTGATTGATTGATTGATTGATTCGTTCATTCATTCATTCATTCATTCATTCACCCACTC